ACAACACCGGGCCCCAACCACCCTTGGCGCATAGCGTCCCATCAGGGGTAGGGTCTAACCTTTGACCCTCCCCCTTAGTGCCAACTCCGCCGACGACGGGGCCACACCCGGCGCCGACTACTCCTCGGGCCGTGTGCGGCCCAGCGACTCCGCAAGAAGCCGCTGATCTGCGATGGAGGAGAGGGGCAAGCCCCTCCCCCCTCCTCTTCCCTTGGGGGAGGCTGGAGCCTCCCCCCACTACATCTAACCTGGGGGAGAAGCCGAAGCTCCCCCTATCCCATCACCCTGGGGGAGGCCGAGTTGGACGTTTCCGAAAAAGTCAAAAATTTCAACCTCGTTTTCCACCTTCTTACGGGTCGAATTTTGAAAAATCCCTTTTTATTGAATGCTTCCATTTTAAAGAGAAGCCATTCTTAAAATTTCAACCTTCTATATCCAGGGGGTTTTGAATCACTTAGGATTCTATGTGTACATAGAGATTTCCAGTTAGTAATCAATACATTTTACAATAAGCAGAGAAATAATTACATTTTGTAGCCTTTCAAATACAAATTATGATGTTATACAATATCAATAGATAGCTGTAAAGATGGCCGAACGTTCGAACTAGCGTTGATAAATTTCTTTACTACATAAAGAAAGAAATCATCCACTTTAGTTTCTTCTCGTTTTTATAAAAAGTCCTTCGAAGTAGGTGTGAAAATGGTAATGGCATCTGGTTGCCAAGTTGGTTTTACGCTTAATCCTACTATAGTTTTGCCATTAAAGTTAACAACGTCTCCCGGTCCCAGCCAGTCATACACTTCAACTCCCAAAGGTGACGGTCGTTTTCAGCGTAGACATTTTGGTTAACCATAATTATAACGTGGCGTCTGGGTGACAATCCTCCACGCGGAAATTATTAATTCCCTGTAACCTCGATTTCTCTATCGTCCGACGTTTATTTCGTCAAGATTTACACGGACGGAGATGCTGTCTAGGTTACATCCCCTGTTGCCCGAAGCGAGCGATTAACCCGCTTTCAGAGACCGGTCGAGCTCGTTCGAGAAGTGGCTTTTAAGTATATTTACGTTTCCTTTCGATGCGCTTGATTCACCGTAAACTCGCCAGAGATTGGAGAGGTTGCTGCTACCAGACTGCGCTCTCGTTCGCTTCCACCTTTTTCTTATAATATTACGGAATACGGGAAAGTCGAAGAGTGGAGAAAAAATATTTTAAGCTGTTTTATAAATCCTGCTGAGTTTCATCGAAATAAAAAGTGGAAAGAGCGGAAACTTACATTGTAGGTGACTATGGAATTATTTTTTAATATTTTTCAAATTAACAACCATTAATAAATGTCATCATCATTTATAACTGGCATTTTCAACAAATAAAATAGAAAAGAAGACAAAGGAAAATTTCTGTTACTCTAACAGTGCAAGATAACACACTTAAGATCTAAATGGGAAAATTATGTAAGTACCTTCATTATTATTATGGCAGCCAAAGTGTTAGAAAAGCAATATTTTTATTGAAATTTCGAAAATTTAATGATATCAGCAACTCGTGTATTGCGAATTAAGGGGAGGAGGTACGAAACAAGCGTCGAGAAACATCGTAATAGGAGACATGGTTAGAGAAGCAGAGGAGATTGACAATAGAGAGGAGAGAGCGGAGATCAGGACAGGCCTGGAAAGTTTTCCAATTTGAGGCAATTAGTTTGCCGCACGGGGACTGGATGGCATGCATCCAGATAATCGAATATGGGTCACCGTCGGAAGTGGAATGGCTCGTGCTTTGGTCAGACCGAGCCTCTGACGATCCTAGGCGAGAGAACACCACACACACACATAAACACAGCGATGCTAAGAGTATGCGAGACATAGACAGAGGTTTGAAGTGCATATGGACTAGAAAATAGCATAAAGCAATAATTATTCGAGGAAATCTTAAAGTTAACAGTTTGGTATAGTAAAATTTTCACTTTTGCCAAAATCTATGAAATAATATATGTATTGCATATTTGAATGATAGGTATAAGGTAATTTACTGTGAGATATACCACTTGTATAACTTTAGATTTCACGGCTATTAGATATCAATTAGCTATGGCGTTATAGCGGTGACAGCAGTAGTTCTCAATGTTGACGGTCGACCTGTTTGTCGTGTTCGTCAGACTTAAACCTTAAAGTAGAAACATAATTTTATACCTTGCTTTAATGTACTTAGTAAAAATGTTTCTCTATCGTGTGATATGATTAGATTTTCTCCTAGATTGTTAGTTTTTAAAATATAATAAAAAAATATCAGCAGGCGTTCGTGTGATTTAGGCGTCTCTTCCACTTCCATTATTATTTGAACATATTTACATGTTTATAATGTAGTAACAATTTATATCATTTTATTCGGTAGATTCCACAGAATTATTGTGTGAAATAAGAACCTGAATATCTGCTATTGTAAAAGCATAAATCATTTCCAAAGTTGAATATTTGCAATTTGTATTTAAGATTGATTATCTCGAAAATTATAAAAGTTAGATAAAAATGGTTTAGAGATTCGGATTCAGCACACAAAAATCTATATGAATCACTCATTAAAAATTATAAAATCAAACGTTGTTGTAGTTGGACGATTTTCACTGTGAAGTTCATTTCGGACATGATTCTATTTGCAATGCTATATCTTGATTATCTTAATTAAAAGATTCTACAGAATCTTTTGCTTTTAGATTATATTATGTAGTTATTTATGTAGAATAATTTAATATGCGCAATCATTGTATTTTATTTGTATTTATTGTTTTATTTAGACTAATATACGCCCCGTGGCGGGTGGACGATTTTCCTACTTTGTTATTCGTACTTTCTAAATTTTATAATGTTTAATAAACAAAAATCATGTTATTTTGTTTCTAAATCACTTTTAATATTAATATCGACAAAATGAGGATTCTGAGAATTCTTGCTTCCCCTATATCGCTATTTTCCCTGGTATGGAAACTCATATGGAAATCTGATTTGATTGTGCGTGTAAGTACTTCCCGCTAGTAGTTTGTTTACTCGTATCGTCTTTACATAAAGCATAGGTACTTTATCCTTTTAATTTTATTTGCGTCTAACAATTTCTCACTGAAAATTTCATGTTTGTTATATGTAAAGGTGAGCACATACTTTATTCAGTTTGATCGCATGGTATACGAATTTGAAGTATTTTTATATGGTGTATATGGCGTAATTTAAATGACCCGAAACTGGTTAATCTAACTCTTAAAAATGAGTTAGTTTGACCACTATAAAGTGAGTTGTTATATAATTCAAATAGTTTGTAATTTGGGTTTGGTTCAAAATAGAAAAAAAGTTAAAGAAGAAAAGATTGAATGATGTAGAAATTACTATTTTTCTATAAGCTCAATTTTTGTTAAAAATACAAATGAACTGGTTTTTAATGGCCATACATGCTTTTTTTGGAACGAATAAAATAGATGATTAGCTGAAATGTGTTGATTGCGAACGCTGGTCACATGAAAGCTACATGAAGTATAAAAATCGTGGTAGCTATTGCGACAAAAAGACCGAAAGTATTTATGTATGTACAACAAGAAAATAAAGTGTTGTTAAAATAAACAGAAAGATGGATTTTTGTTACACAAGAATAAATGTATTTTATTTTCTCATACTAACCACTGTGGAAGTAGTTGGACCGTTGTTATAATGATTAAAATGCTTATTATAATTTCGTTATTAGAAAGTTCATAAGCCAAACTCCGTGTATTTTCTTCAATTAATCTACAAACGACGGACCATGGATAGAGTCCCAATTTTAATTTCCTTATTCTTTAATTTTAATGTTTTTTTATGCAGTTCCTTTCAAAACTTATTCTGCCCATATATGAAACTTTTTAATTAAAAAATTATACATTTAACTTTACGTTTATATCCTTTGTGTATCTATGTTTTGTAAGTTTGGGTATCAATTGACTCAGACTCTGCAGTTCAAAAGTGATCCACCTCTTTCGAAATTACCCTACCGAAAATGCAACTCTCGATGATTATACTGTGATTAATTTGTATTCATTATATTCTTTTGTCCTCTTCAAGTTATATTATGAAAGACGTTAATTTAATAAATTATAAATAAAAACTAGCAAAGAAGGCTTACGCATATAGGTGTAATATAAAACGTTTGCCGAGGAAGCATAGCCATGGAAAAATCTGCATGCGGAAAAACGAACAGCGAGCCACTCGATATCGTGTTCTACTGGCTATTTCGAGGTGTGAAAGGCAATGAATATGGAAAGAGAAGCGGTAATGCGACAGATAAAGCGTTCGTTGAAATGAAAATTCAATTATCAGGGCGTTGAGTCGAGTGCTTCGAAGGTGAGACTTTTTTCATGAATCGATTAGCATTTCGTGTTCTCCGAGGACATATTCAAATATATATTTTTTATTTTCACTCTAAAATCTTCTATTTTGTACTAATCAATATACTAAAAGCATTTCATTATTTTACAAAAGAAAATTGTACCATTTCAAATTTTTTCTTTCTTCATTTTTTCGCACGATTCGATTTTATCAGAACGGTTTCCGACTCAACATACACACTTTCGGAATTTCAAATCTGAATTACTCGGTGTAATCGATTGATCGATCATCCGTGGCTGCCAGCAAGTTCGATCGATCAATGTTCGCGGTTTCATGATGCAGCTTTAAAGTTTCTCCCGGCGTCCGGAAAGTTTCAAAGGATATGCAGGCCAAGAAACTGGTACATTGTTAATGAAACGAGTTTGTGTTCATGGTGCACCATGAGAAACATAGTGTTGTTGAATTAAAGCCACATAAGCATTAGTAATATTATATAGCAGGGCTTTTATTATCCATTCAAATAGCAAGCTTTATGGAATTAAAAATGGATTTATTTAAAATTTTAGATACACTTATAGGAATACATATTGTAATATATCAGGTGTTATTTATTTACAAATATTAGTAATAACGTGGTATTTTGTTGTTTTGCAGAATCTGAGGCCAGCTGGGACGAATGGTGGACCTACGATGGTATTTCTGGTAAGTTCGATTAATTTCCATTTAATTAATATTTTGTAATTAATTCAATTTGCAATTGAAGTAGGTGTCTCAGGTATAATAATTCAGAGCATTACAAAAGTTTAAACCCTTTTTTTGTCTGTTTATATTTACTTTGAAAATTAAAAATTAAATACAAGAGTTTCAAAATACTAATTCCACCGTTAGAATAAAACAATTGAGTTTTTCATTGAAATAGTAATGACGTTTACGAGTGATTATGGATCGTGGATGTGGGATTTCGAAGGAATGTTCCATCATTTTCCTGAGCAGCCGGACAAAATAATCGTCCGTGTGATGGTGAATTGAAGCCGATGCCGGCCAAGCTCAGAAAGAGAAATTAATCGACGCGAATTAATTTCCATTAATATTCGACGATTTCACGATCGATTGGTTGAAGTTCGACGAGCGACTCCGTATCTTCAGCAAGCGTGAACTCGCCTGAATAATGAGATATCGGGGATGGTTCTGTTGAAAACAACTCTTTTTTCTTTTTTTTTTCTCCTTTTTTTTCCTTTAATCGCGCGAGGGAGTTAATATTGGAAAAGTTTTATGACGAGTTGATATTCCAGCACGATTACAGAAATACCTTCCATGGTGGCAAAGAGACACTTTTATCCGTGAGAAACTTGCTAAGAGTAGATTTGCTGCTTCTCACTAAAAAACTTTCACCTTATCTTCATATTTTCTTTTTCCCTCTGTTTCTTTCTAATATATTTTATGCACACCTATATTTTGTTTTTGTGATTCACTCATAAATAGGTAGGTAATGCATGAATTTCCAAAGACATCCATTATTTTTTACTTACCTAACTAGAAATACTTAGTACTTGAATATTAGTAACAGAAGTAATGAAATATTGTAAAAATATTAAGGGTGTGCAGGTAAAGGAGCCTTAGGTCGGGGCGGGTAATCATCGGGTTGGATCGGGCAATTTGTCTAGTACATAAATTTATTCGGGTACCGGTAATTTCAAGAACCGAATATAAACTCGAGATCCAAAACTCAATTCGGAAGCCGACACTACATTCTTTCAGGCTAACCCTTGTAAGATGGCTAAAAGAAAATGTACTTTCTCATCAAACGTATAGAGAACTTTTTTTTTTATTTAATATAGATAGCTAGGCCTTACCCGGCCCATGTGCCTGTGTTAAATATAGTACATTTGTTTGATATTTCGGTGTGGAAGAGTGTTATACACTAAAAATATATCGTTGTTCTTACAGCTAGATTTCAGTCTTCTTTTTGGACCATGTCCTGAGATCACATACATTGTTAAGTATCTAAGAATTCAAGTTATGACTAAAAATTAAAAATTAAGTGTATTAGGTATTAATTTGCTAGGAAATACAGTGCCGGGAGAAAATAATGGCACACCGTTTAAAACAGAATACCTCATTTAAAATTGAACCAAATAACTTGAGATTTTTGGAGAAGCTATAAAAATTAATTTACTAAGATATGTGCTTCTGTCGTTTTAAAAAATTACAATTTGTCGAAATCGGGAGGAAAATAGTAAAAGGCAATTTTTCAACTTTTTTATGTGAGTCTATAATGAAAATTTGAAATATGTCTTTCGTGGATTCAAATAAATTATGTGTATGCTGATAATTTCATCGAGATCGGTCAATGCGCTTAGAAGTTACAAGTAATTAAAATTTCCGAAAATCTCGGCTTTTCATCTAAGAACTAGAGATTTGTTGTTAGAGATTTTCGGAAATTTTAATTACTTGTAACTTCTAAGTGCATTGACCGATCTCAATAAAATTTTTAGCATACACATAACATACTTAAATTTACAAATGTCATATTTTAAATTTTCATTGCAAACTCAGATAAAAAAATTAAAAAATTGCCTTTTACTATTTGTTTCCCGATTTCGACAAATTGTAATTTTTTAAAACAATAGAAGCGCATATCTTAGTAAATTAATTTTTATAGCTTCTCCAAAAACCTCAAGTCATCTGGTCCAATTTTAAATGAGGTACATATTCTGTTTTAAACGGTGTGCCAATATTTTATCCCGGCACTGTACGTCTTAGATTTTAATGTTATTTGTCTTGAGGAATTGTTCAATGGTTTTCGCAGCCTTGATCCATATAGAGAACTTTGACTTTAACCATCTAACCTTTGACTTTAACCTTCTATACGTTTCTAGAAGCTTCCTTGCGCTTCGCGATACACGCATACACTATACCTTTAATTATTAAGTTTGAAAATATTTTCATGTTACTGCGTAGAACGTGATGTAATCGAGTTTCCAGTCGAGGTTCCGAAATAAATGACGGGTACTCGAACAAATTCATGTGTTGGGCAATCTTTCAGGGTCCTGTCTGAACTCGAAAAAAATTCCCGACCTGAATTTGCAAGTACCCGCGCATCCTTAGAAATGAAAATAATGAAATTTTCAACGCGTTAAGAGAAAATATTTAATTAACAAAAATATTTGAGATTCTGGTGTTGAGTGATTCACCCTGTATAGATCGACGAGTGAGCACGGTAGTACAGACGTATATCTTCGACGAAAGTCCGTTATTGGTTGTAAAAACGGACGAGCCATCTGTCTGCGATATGAGACTCGGTGCACCCTAAAAATCGACCTTCGAACTCTGTCGATGGTAGTAATAAGTCACGTAAAGGTTCTGTCCCTGTATGTGTTATCTTCACAAAAAAAAAGAAATTCAACACAGTATTGAAACTTATATTTATTCAGCCTTTATTTAAATTATTTTGCAATTATTTCAAGTACAGCTTATTCGTAATGCGTGATTAATAATATAACTTTGCGATATATCTTTTTAGAAAATTTTATACCACACAGCTGTTTCTTGTTCGAGTTAATGGATCGTCGCAGTTTATACACTGTCCGATCGTGAGACAGCGATAAAATCATAAGCACGACAAAATTTTCCGAATAGAAGCCGTAAAATTGACGCGATAAAAAGGAATCCGAACGAGAAGCGAAACGAAAATATCGTCGGCGAGTTTATGGGTCGGGGAGTGAGGGAGAGGGGGTGGCAGTGTTTAAGGCAAAGTATACGGCACTGTTTCTCTTGTGGCAGCTGGCTCGCATGGCGGAAACAACAGTAAACTTGAGGCTCCGTAGTCTCGCACGACCCTATAGGTGGCCGTCTTATTTTTAATAAAAACTGCGATCCCGACGAGGAGGGTGGCGAGATTAAAAAATTCGTGCCAGCGGCATGAGCCACTCGATGGTTCCGTAACTTCAGAAAATTAAGGGCTTCCACACCCCCCATCCCCTACAAACCGATCGACTTTCTCATACTTGGCGATTTAAATCTTTACATTTTCTTTTTTACTTTTTCACGATAATATGATTTAAGAATAAATAAATCAAGAATTTTCAAAAATGATATTAATTTGTAACGTATCAAATACAAGAATATTAATTAATTATAAATTTTAATGATGATGCGATTCAAGAATAAATATTGTAGATTTTGCATGAACCTTGAAATTTCTTGAATAATGACGTTGAAGAAGGAAATAAGAAAATTCGACGCGATAAGAGAGTAAGATATAAATCTCCAATAGAGAAGTTTTCCACGTGCGGGATCAAGTCTGTCCCGGCTGCTTGTCGTGTTTCGTAGCCGAGCAAGGTTCTCGTTGCCACTTGAAGAACACTTTTCCGGCCCGTGGAAGAGTACTATTTCGAAGTGAAAATGAAATTTCTACCGCGAGACGAGGGCACTCCCTTTCCCTGTCGCGTATCCACCGAGACTTAATGATACACTTGTTAAATGTGTCAGAGAGACGGTACACTAAAGTGGGCATCTCACTTAACTCGTAAATAAAGGAGTTAATTAAGAATTTCTCATCAAACCTTACCAGTGCTTTTAAACGAGCGAAGAATGTAATTTGTATGTTACATTTTATCTTTCGCCTTTAGCCTGATTCCATTATTATCACCTTCGTCATCATCATTATTATTAATTATGCGAATTTTCGTATTTCTTGTTTCAAAATCATCTGAATTCTACCCATAGATCAATTGAAAAATGTAGACATTGACGTGACTAGAATGTTCTACTGAAAATGTTGAGTTGTAGGATCTAAAAATTGTAGGCTTCCGGGAGGGGGAGCAGGCACTTTGGGTCTTACATTTTAATTGAATTTTAATAAATAATTCCATATCAAATATTTAATTCAATATTTTGGAAATCCAATTTAATTTAGTTTCATTTAATTGTCTGAAATTATATTAGTAACATGCAGTAATTTTTAAAATTGAAATATGAAATATGTTGTAACAAGGTGGCGCCAGTGCCCCCCCGTTACAATCATCCAAGTTTTCTTAATACCCCTCTCCTAACCCCTATCCTCTTCTCCCACCCGTCGGTATCGGGCCGGTAGAGGCGACGGAAGGACTGGACAACGACGCTGCAACCCCAACCCCCGGAGGACTCCGTCCCGAGGCCGACGACGACCCTACAGCCCTCCACGAAAGGAGCGTCCAGCTAAGAAAGCGACCCAAAAGGACACCGTGGGACCATCTATCGTCGAGCCCGAGGACCCTCAGCCCGCAGCCAGCATCGCCGAGCCCCGTCAGCCCTACCGATCCCGATTACCGGCCAATCCCTGAGCCATAGATCCCCTCTCCAGAAATTCCCTGCGATGACTAGCCGGCAATTAGCGCGTAGCGGTCTTAGCGAAATTACCTAGCGATTTTATAGAGTACGATTTGCGGAGTGTACGGTGTGTGTGTCTGGCGTGCCCCAGTATAATATTGTCCCGCGGATCCGGCCGCGTACTTCGGCGCCCGGGTACCCTTCGTTCGCGCACGGTACAACCGCGATTTCGCCTAAGCCCTTTTCCTTCCCTTTCTCCCCTTTTAGTCCCATTGTCGAACGCATAACATAGTGAACCTTCCTGTGAACCTTCCCGACCCTAGAGATTCCTCTCCCACGACAATCCTCCTCGCGTACTCCCCCGCGTAGGTTGTGTTACGGTAGACCACGGT